CCATTTACCATTTACCATTCAGATGAGACAAAAGTAAGAAAGCCAGCTTTGTGGCTTTTCTGTACTAGCAGTGAGAGATATGACTGTATTAGGCCTCACCAGGACCTGTTCAGGGAATTAGTATCTTCTCCACCCCTACACATCACCAACACTGTGTTAACCTCTCTCTGTTTGAATCTGTAGATGGGGATCCAGGTTTTGTTGGTGCTGATTGCCCTTGCATGTGTACCCTGTATGCTGATTGTGAAAACTATGGTGCTTCGGCGTCAGCACCTGTGGAAAAAGCACCTGGTATGTGAATCCGACCCCACCTATAACCTTTCTGCCACCTTTGATGAATAACAATTATAACCTTTGGTATAACCTTTTTTTTCTCACTCCTACTCTGCCATTCATTTCAATGCACATTGTACTGTGTAACGTGGTTGGTTGTGTTGCCATGAAAAACGCTTAAAGCCTGCCTTGGAAACGCTCTTATTTTGATGGGAAATGCGTTGAAATACTAAGGGCACCCTTACAGCTAATGATCTGCCTTTTGCATTCTCCTGTTTTATCTGTGTATTTGAGAAATACACAAACACTACCTATCCAACAAATATGAATTACCTAAAATATCTCATAAAGCAGCCTGCTTTCATTGCTCTCACTGGTTTTCTGAGAGGCATACTATGCAGGATTTTCTTGTGCTGTTTTTTTAACGGACCATTCAAAGTTGGCCACAAGACAGTGAATGGAAGTGAGGGAGTGCCATGACTGAGAACAAAGCAAGAAATAAAAAATAAAAAAATTGAATCTGCTGGTTGTTTCACACCAATTATGTTCTAAAGCACCTCTACACAGTCCTGCAGAAGATGCACATTGCCTGATTTTTATACACTCCAAAACCACATTCATCATCCACATTTCATTTTAGTGCTGCTGCAGTGCTGGAGAGCAGAGAGAAAAGACATAGACAGAGACAACAATCTGCTCGCTAAACCTTACGTGGCGCTTGCCAAAGTTTGACGCCCAGAAATGTCCCATATAGAGCAGTATAAGAAAGTACAGGCCAGGGACTCTGCAGATACAGACACAGCCACACACCTCTAGTAAGTCATAAGTGATAATTGAGAGGGAGTATGTTTGAGTCTATGCATTGATTTTTAGGAAAATCCTACCTGGTATGCTTTCAAACCTCAGAGAAGTGCAGTGCTGAAGAGCATCACTAATTAAACTAATATACAGTTGTGTTAAGCATGTTCATGAGAAAACTTTGTAAGATTAATTCACTGTTGTGGTATTTATAACTTTGTATTTATTTTAAGTGTCATAACTGACAAGTAGGGGATGTATCACTTTCTGTGCTGGGTGCCCTCTTAAAAAATGTTTTAAAAAAATAAAGAAAGCGTTCAACCCAAGGCTTGCTTTAAGCTAGACACAGCTCTTGTGGCTTTTGTATCTAGTCCCAGAAGAGGGAAGAAACCCCTGCAGAGAATCTAGAGCAGTCTTTAGAGCAAACAGGCGTGTCCTCATCATGCACCGGACTCACCCAACAGGGCACGCAGAAGTTTGGAGGGGTGCGGGTGGGCAATGGGCCCACGGAGGACGAGGCTGGCATCATGGACCACGACCAGCTCTCCCAGCACTCAGAGGAAGGAGATGAGGTGAGCTCATGAAATTCCATCCTCTTCCAAAACCTTTGTTTTGTTTGATTTTAAAATTTGAATAGTTTTCAGTAGGATGATGACCAACTATGCTTTTACTGTTTTATATGGACAATTGTCTGTATGTTACAGATAAAGGGGGTCACTGAGTACAAGATTTTTTACTTTATGTTCTAAAAATTTATTTTTCCACTTTTCCAGGTCTCTAGGTAACTCAAACTTAATAAATAAACCTGAGCACTTGACTTTGATAGCAGCTTAATGAGTCACTAGACACAGTAGGCTGTCATAAACTAAGGCTGGAGATATAC